TGGGGATTTGGAGAGGTTGTCGTCGAAACGCCTAGATTCAGGTGATGGTCATGCTGTATCCCAATGGTTGAATAAGGAAGCTCTTTACAAATCTTTTCCTCTAAATTTCGAGGTTCATCCCTGATACTGGCTATAAACAAATGCTATCAACAATGCAAGAAGTTTAAAGCTACCATAACAGTAGTTTGCTAGCAGCTTGATGAATTTTTCATTGAACGTTAAACTGTAATAACTTTGAATTTCTTGCGCGATCGGTCTCGGAATCAATTACTTTTTTTTGGGAAAATTTCACCATGATTGCGTGAAAATGTGAAATTTTGTGAATAATTAGGTTGAAAAAGGACCTGCAACACGTTGCCCAGGGGTCATGGATTTTATTTTATTTATTTATTTATTTAAAATACACTCACAAGAGTGTGCCCAGATGAGGGAAAAAGGAAATATCATTGTTGAGCAGAAAAAAATCCATTGCAATATTTCTAGAAACTAAAAGGCTAATACCAGGCAGCAATATAAAAAGAAGCAGAAACGAAAACGCAAAGTAAACAAAATTATAAATCAAAACTGACAGACCGACGGTTGCTTCAATTAGGCGATTTTGTACTCAGAGGCGCTCACAATAAGGTGAAGAAAGCGGGAGGAAACAGGCTAATAAGGAAATCCTAGGATGCTAGCGGTTGATACACTTCCAACCTTAAGGTGCTACCTGAGCAAATAACCGACAAGGTATGAGCAAGCACAGCACACACTTGTTCTGAACTTTTCCGAATTCATGAGATAAGATCAATGAAGTGGTGGTGGATGGCGCTAGGGATAACGCCACTCGACAAGAGCACAAGGGCATGCAAGTCGAACCACGAAACCAGATTTTCGGATGTTAGGTATTCCCTACCCCTAACAATCTGATTTCCGACCCACCAGAGCATAGTGAGGGAACAGAGTGTGCGTGCAAATCAAAGAGTAGAATTAAAGTGGTATCGTCGGTACACCGATTTAGCCGGAAGGCATAAAGACCACACAGCACACTAGGAAGAGAGAAAGCTAACCGTACAAGAGGAAAAGAACACACTATGTAGCTACAAACGGACGAAGTCAAGACAGAAAACTGGTTTAGAAAGAACTAAAAACTGCAGCCTGGAGACAAATACTGTGGGAGGACCCTTGTTAGAAGACAAGCCGTAATACTGCTGAAGAAGGAACTTCACTGACGATCGTGACACAGGGTTGATGCTCGCAGGTGTCGACGATAGCAAAAAAAGCGAGCCAAAATGGCAAATACTGCAATGAAATTAACTTCACAAAGCATCATCAAGACCCAAAACTCGAAGTAAATCAATTTTCTTCAACCTGCTCCTGAATACCTGACTGTTTTGAGAACACATAACATCACTGGGTAGACGCTGAAACCATCGCGCCACTCGACATAAGAGAAAATCGAAAAGTCGACTAGGGATCCTTCTTGGGATGTTCTGATAGTGCAAGCTAAAACCACTAGACCTTTCACTACTCGGCCTGAAAATCCAATACTTACTTGGTGTCAAGTTCAATTCTTTACGAAGTAGTTGAAATCCAAAAACAAGGTCAGCAACTGTTCTTCTATAAAGCAAAGTTTTCAACCTGAGAGTTCGCAACCTTTCATCATAAGGTGGTAAATTACGCCTGTACAGTCTGTTGTTCATCCGAAGAAGGACTAGTCTGGTAAATGTATGCTGAACACGCTCTAACCTCCGAATATCTTTTCTGCGGGTAGGATTCCAGACCTGGGAGGCATACTCTAAGTGTGGCAATACATAGGATTTATAAAGACGAAGAAGAATGTGGGCCTTGTTGCTGCGAACATTTCTAAAAATGGAAAACAGTGAAGCATAAGCCTTAGTGGTTACATGCTCCACGTGGGAGGAAAAATTCAAACTCTTGTCAATTATGACCCCAAGGTCCCTAACAGTATCGCATCTCTTCAGCGAGACTCCATTCACACTATAATCTATAGCAGCTATTCTTCCCATGTGAAATACAAAACACTTATTCAAATTAATAGACAAGTCGAGGTCGGAAGCCCACAACATCAGATTTTCGAGGGATTTCATGAGAGTATTACGAACTTCCTCGCAATTAGATTCATCATAACACCCATACAATTTGATATCGTCCGCATATATTTGCAGTCTAATGCTCTTAGAGATATTAAGGATTCTAGGCAAGTCAATAGTATAGATCAGGAATAGAAGAGGGGAAAGCACCCCGCCTTGTGGCACTCCACTGGGGCAATTAAACCGATTAGAGAAACCATTGCCGACTTTCACAGTAAAATGCCGGTCTTTCAAATACGATGTTATCCAGCTCAGTAAGCATCCGCTTATTCCAAGCGTCTCGAGTTTTTGCGACCCAATTTATAATGATTAACTCTGTCAAATGCCTTCGTCAAGTCAACATAAATAACGTCAATGGATTTCCCTTGATTTAGAGCGATATGCCAGTCAAACACGCTATCGACAAGATTAGTAGTCGTGCTTGCTCCACTAAGGAAGCCGTGCTGTTCTGGTGGTATAAGTTTGAACTTATCACACCAGGACAGTAGCTTCACTCTGAGGAGTTTCTCCATAACCTTGATAACCGTCGGTGTAATACTTATAGGTCGAAATTCTGAAACCAAATGAGCGCCAGAGACCTTTGGAATGGCAGTGATCAATGCTTCTTTCCAAATATCAGGTACCTCCCCCAACGCAAAAGAGACGTTAAAGATGTGTGCCAATGGCTTAGCGAGTGATGAAGCACATGCTTTGAAAACCACAGGAGGAATACCGTCGTAGGGTTCAGTAGAAGAGGGCTTTAAACACCTCAGTATTTTGTAAATATCAGAAGGGTGGAAGTAAATGTTATCACAGGTATAATGAACTGAAATATCACTCCCAGTCATCACTCTTGTAGTATTACCCGAGTTATAGTAGACGCTAGCAAAGAAATCGCCGAGCGCGATTGCTTTGTCGACGTCGTTATAGTGCTTATGACCAAGAGCATCCACTACAAACGGTAGACGGGGATCACCTTTCATTTTCTGCCTTATATACCCATATAGACGTTTCGTAGATGACTCTGATGCCAAACGACGCTCATAGTGATCCCAGAACTTCTTGAGATGGTAATTGATGTCACAGCAAACTTTTTTGTAGCGAACATCATTCATTGCATTTACAGCATTATCAAAAATACGCTGCTTCTGAGCAAGTAAGTTACGTATATGAATAGGAAATTTAGGGCT